CCCCCTCAAGTTTCGCCCCTGCTTGTGTACTTACCTACGGGACAGGTGTACTTTTTCAAACTGATTAAAGACTCCCCTAAAAGCGCGGCAGTGACACGGATATTTGCCAGTATTGTTCCAAATGAACCTTCGTCATTTTGATATGTGAGAATATTTCTCATCGCTTTTTCACAGAGATAACTGTCTGTGTGGATACGAGCTGCTTGCAAGGCCTAGAGAATTAATGTGCAATACTAAATAAAAATAATTTCGAAACAAGAATAATTGTTCCAATCCAGAGTTACTCCCAAGTGAAACGTTTTCGTTTCGTTGCAAGTGAAACTTTTTCGGTATGGCTCTTTTGCATGCAGAATCTAAACTACAATCCTGGCCAAAACGTTGTGGACAACCCACAGGCATTGGCCTAGAATGGCGTTTTTTCTCAATAAATATCCCCTGCTCCCCAAGTCAATGTTGAATGGAATTGTTCATCAAATAAGAAGTGTAGGATAATGCGGATATGCAATATTGAAGAGGGGAAGTGGGGAATATGCGTGTAAAGTCAAGTTTCAACTGTTTGTTAGGATTTGCAAAAGTGGATTGTGCGGTCCACATGGATTTTGGTTTGGGTTGTAGCTTTGTTTATATTGGATAACATTTTCAATTCTGAACTCTTCATTAATTAAGCACTAGTAAGGGCAATCCTTCGTTTGTGCAGTCTTACAACTGGGAAAGCCAAACTAACTTTATTTGTACTGGATAGCTCCACTGGATTGCGGATGTAGGGGTGGTGATAAGCGGATCCGGCAAACAATAGTACAATCATTTACCATTATAACATGTGCTGTCGAGTACTGATTACCAAACGCTCCAGTTGTTGTATTTTGCTTCATGATCAAATTTTCAACGATTTTCTCTGATGCTCGATGAACTTCATTTTGCATGGAACTGTTGGAAATACACGATAGAGCTTGCAAAATCAGCGAGTCTATATCACCTGAATGATAACTAACTTGTCGATAAGCTCCGTTGAGAAGTTCCCGTACGACGTCGTCCGGCACACGGTGGCCAGCATTGCACAAAGCAATGACAGCCAAGCTATACCCGAAATAGTTTTTGAAATTTCGAATCTTCTTGAACAAAGCGAAACCGGATAGAAGAGGTGGTATTAAATTGTATCCATGAAAGTTTTCAGGGTCCTGACAAAGTGATACCACTGTTTGGATTATAAGAGCTAGATGAGGATTAGGAATTCTTGAAAGGTTTCCTTCTGTGGCGTTCTTTGAATCTAGGAAATTCTTCAGTGTTTCTTCAATGTTAAGGCCGTGTCTGTCTTTGAATTCTGACAACAGAGTCTTGGGTTTATGGCCAGCCAATCTGAGAATTGTGATCAACGAGCCAGCTCGGTACGGGAACAGTTCTGTACTGTTGTCCTTGTAGATTTGTTTCATCCAGTCAGAGGAACGAACGACAGCCCGAGTTTGGTCGGCATGTAAAGTTTCGCTTGTCCTGGCTGAAAATGACAAATTCACAATGTGAATGGGGCGTTAATGTTTGGTTCTAATTCCCTACCTCTTCGTGTTATTGTTTCAATTTTTAAAAAAAATTATATAATTATCGCTTATTTACTGAGACCGAGGGAAGCAGTGTGTTTTGTGGACCCGAGACCGCCGTTAACGGCGGTCGAGTAGCCAGAAAACACACTGTTTTCCCAAGGTCTTAGGAAATAAGTGTTTTGTTATGTAGTATATAAGTGTCAAAGTATGAATAATTCACCGCTCATTGGAGTGAACTTAATTTGAAACCAAAATTGGATGAATAGAACGTCGTAAATGTTTAATAAAAAGTTTAAAGAATGAATTTTGGAACTTCATGGTTTAAGCGCATGTACATTGCACCCATTCTATTATTGACCGGTCAATAAATGTTTCATTGTTGATCGGTTGCCTCCTCGCCAATGAGCATGAACATGACGTGAACAGTGAACATGACGTTTTGTGGACCGGCACGTGATACGGTTTTGACCAATCGGCAAACAGAAAAATTGAACTTTGACACTAACTATATAACAAATGTATTTGTTTATATACTAATTTAATTTAAATATTTACTCATACACCGTACATTGGCATCACTATATTTATACATGAACAGTTTGTGGTTACAACTCGACAACTGTCTCTCTGTAGCTCAGTTGGTTAAAGCGCTGAAACGGAATCGCATGCAGGGCCGCAGGATCGATAGGTCTAGTATAAATGTAAAAAAATTCCACCTATACCAACCCCTTCAACAATTATTTATATCGAGTGAGATACCAAAATCCTAATGAAAGATATCGCGATGTTCCGCTACGTCAGAGATCATGACATCTCCAAACTTTTAGAATCAAAACAAAATAAAATGGTAATTAAAGTTAACCACAGTCATTGCGAAAGTGAACCAATAAAAAATCGCGTATTTTAGAATTGACTACTATTAAACTACGAAATAGTGATTATAAAGTAGATATCCAGTGAAACTTACTTAACTACCCTCTATGACCGTCTCAAGTTAAATGCTTACCACAAAACGAAGTTACTCTGCCAGAAAATAGAATCAAGCATATTACAATCACGCCAGAAAATAATTGTGCATTCATGATGTTGTTTATCAGCAAGCTTGAGAATTCGCGTTCACCATTACTGCTATCACTTTGCAATATGATCCACCTGTCGTGGTCTGCGCAATTATCTTTAAATTGGTAAATATTCTCTGCCTGGGCAAATCCTAGATTTGGTGAGGATTAATCCAGATGTACTTGTAGCTAGTGTTGATATTTCTGTGAGTTCCCTGTGTTGTTTTGAAGCCCAGTGAAGGTCACTTAGAACGTAACGAAACTTGATCCATCTAAAGTAGTAAAATGGCTATTTTTCGTACCAAGTTTCAGTTCAAGGTCTTATTCAAATCATCACTCAAGCAAGGCTCAGTAGAGCTGGGGGAGGGGCTGCTGCAAGGTAAGAGCATGGGAACGAGGTTGGGGCTGCTGCAACTCCAATTTTAACAACAACAAAGTCTGACAGATTAATTGCTTTAAAATCAGCCACCCTATACTTAAAAATCGGGCAAATGATGAAAGGAAAGCGCGACGCGTATTACAATAGTAGAAAAAGCAAGAATGAACTCGCGATTATGACGCAAATTTGTTTGTATTGGTCGTGCAATGTCGCTCGAGGTCGGACAAATTTTTGTCAGCCCCTCCCCCTAATTTTTTTCCTCCCGTGCGTCTATGTTGGTACCCTGTAATAAATTGAAATGTCGCGAAGGCTCTGGTTCAACGGGGAGATTCTTTGATTATACTGCGCCAATCACAAAACTGAATGAGTGGTTTTATTACAGAATCTGTATTAAAACCACTCATTCTGTTTTGTGATTGGCGCGGTTTAATCAAAGAGTCTCCCCGTTGAACCAGAGCCTTCGCGACATTTCAACTTATTATTTACTGTCGAAGGCTCTGGAATCCAGGGTACTATGTTGGTATTGTAAAAAAGTATTTATGGTTGGCAAGAGTTAAGAAAGTGTCGTAAGATGGTAAAGCCCATACTGATTGTGATATCGTGTTCATTTAAGAAAACATCAAGGTTCACAGATATTTTTGCAATGCTGTTTCAATTAGGGCTACCTCCACAAAGGACGAAATGACATTTCAAGACCTCGGCTATTGCAAAGAACACCATACAATGACATGGTCATTTAACTGTTTGACTTTAATTACCACTTAACCCAGTAGACACCATACACTGTAAAAACACCATGGTTATATAAAATTTCCTGAGAGTCCTAGATAATATGTTCTTGGTTAAATTTCATTTGATCATAGTCCTGCCTAATTTATAACCAGGATTCCTGGCTAATAATCCACCAAGACAAGACAAATAATTTATTCAGTACCGTTAATACATTAAATTAATACATACGTAAATACAAAATTAAGATAAAGTTACGAAAAGAAGGTACTAGCTAACTGTAATAACCAAAAGGCTAAACAAGACAGTTATAGCGAATTTGATTAGTAAAAATATATTTTAGTGGGTAAACGGACATAGTCTGGTTAATTCAATCATATATACCCTGGTTCAATTAACCAGGAATCCTGGTTAACTTAGCCAAGACTATGATCACACTAACCAGGACCGTGGTTAATTAACTGAATAACTAGGAAATTTAACCAGGAACATTAAGTTACCCCAAACAATGTTAATTTTAGATAAACCAAATAATTTTTAACCAAGGTGTTTTTAGAATGTACCGAGAAATTATCTGTGGCAAGTTGAAAAAAATAGGTACGCTAGGCGTACATGTATCTGCGCAAAGGAATTGCATGGTTGCTGTAAAAAAAATTCAGATTACAGTCTTTTCTCTACCGCAATCAACTGTCAGAAAGCCACCATTTGTTCTAATAACAAACAGAATGAGAGTTGAAAAAGCATGAACGGTCACGCACGAAAAAGATGTTACTACATGTACTACATAGCAACGCCTTTTTGTTTTGTTTCATTTTACGGCCTGTTCGCAGACGTACATCCTGTTCTCAGCCCTAATTCGCAGCGTGCTCGACCTGAGTGTTTAACGCACGCACGCTAAACTCCACAGCACGCACACACAACTCGATAGCACGCACACACAACTCGACATGATCTGTGGCAGTTGAAAAAATTAAGTAACAGTTCAACTGTTATAAATGCAGTTTTAAACATTAAAAGATCAACTTTTTATTTGAAATTAATCCCTCAGTTAATTAACCCAGATGTTACATCATGTTAATTTTGTTCCATTCTCATCGCTTTACTACTATTACACTTGGGTTGCTTGTCTATAATTGTACTTTAACTATTTAAAAGTCAACTTTTTGTATTTAAATGTAATCAGGTTACCATCCTTCGGCTTTAATCCGTCGACGCCATATTTGGCAGACTTTCCGTTAACGTAAATCAACCAATAGTAATTTTTCGACGAATCCTTAGCAACACCACAAATACTTGTCACCGAATGGCCGAATGAGTACTTTTTATATTCAGCTTTGTAACAGGAGTTTTGTTCTCCGGCCAAGTCCAAAATAGTTTTCGCTGTTGTTCCTTCTAGTACGCTGACGGATACTGGGGGTTCCGTTCTTCTCATGTCGGTCACGTTGAAAACGAGCTGCACATGGACTGTGATTATCTGGAAAAAGAAGATTTATTTTATTAATTGGAAAGTCATCTTAGACAAGCTACAATCCCGGACAAAACATCTGCAACACTTGCAATTATTTGACCAACTTTCATAATATTGTCGCATATTTAGAGAAACCTCCCCCTTACCCCCCACCATTCAATGTTGATTGCATTCCCAGAATATGGTTAAAGCAGTTGTAATACATCCAACATTAATAGAGTATCGCAGATGGTTTTGAGCAGGATTGTAGGAACATTTTTGTGAACAATATTTTCCCACTTCTGGCAAACTTGGCTAGGAAACAATGTTTTCGTAACAACTTTTCTAGTTTGCCTACCTTGGGGAAATATTATATGGCTAGGAAACAATGCTTTTGGCTTGCCAAAACCTTCGGGAAACATGGTTAGAAAACAGTATTTATTGGTTTCCTTACCTTTGGGAAACATTATCATCATCTTTATTAGGGTCAATCATATTTTACAAAGAAAACATGTAAAATGTTCAATCAACTATTAATAGAATATAGACCCTAAATGGGCGAGGTATAAACAGGACTCGAACAACCATGCATGATACCTTCCCAAACCCTACTAAAATGATTTAAAATAACATTACACACGCAACTCTACACACACCTATTACACTACAGTTTGCGTCCTATAATACGAAGAGTCACGAGACAAGGACCTCGTATATGACAAGTCAACATAAATAAAATCAACAATACTAGAATATCTACGTTTAACTAAACATTTAAAAGAACTAGGACTAGACACAGTGTTCAAACGTATACATCTTTACATACAATGTTCCACAGTTTGACAACACGATTATATAGTATACGAAGATTGAAAAGTGCTTGTTCTACCAATTTGCCTTTGTAGAATGTACTTTGAGGTGTTACTCAGCCGAGTTCGACCGTGACTGACAAACGAGACATAGTAAAGCCTTGTACAGAAACACAAAAACCACATGGCCAGGAAACGATGTTTCCTGGTTTGCCGGCTATACGTATACCTTTAGGAAACATGGCTTGGAAACAATATATTCTCTGGTTTGTCCACCTTCGGGGGACATGATTAGAAAACAACATTTCCGAGACATCACGGTTGAATTTTGAAAATGAAAAACTACTACGAAAAAGTAATTTCTTACCTCAGGAATAGGTGTGGTGGGTGATGGCACTAATAAAAATAAAAATAAAATAAACAAACTAAGTAATAGTAAAAAGACTAAGCCAACTTAGATGCTAGCTAGCTCCATCAGTTCTGTATGAAATGTACACATACCTTTGGTTCTTATACGATCAGCTAACGACCTGAATTTTTACTTTGAGTAGAATGTTTTCTTTGTAATTGTAGATTCTAAGTAAGGCATTGCAGCCCCCGCTTGGCGCCCCCCCCCTCCTACGCTTTCTTACCTAGTACGGGACAAGCGTATCTTTTCAAACCGAATAACGATTCTCCCAGGAGGGCAGGAGTTATTAGAATATTTGCCAGAATTGAACCAAAAGATCCTTCCTCATCTTGATATGCGAGAATATATTTCATTGCTTTGTCACAAAGATAGCTGTCCGTGTGGATACGAGCTGCTTGCATGGCCTGGAATATAACAGTGTGGAAATCGTTCTTTTAACAACTTCATGTTAAATACTGTTTAAGGCGATTCATCAGTTTTGCATTGCGCACTTTTACTGCGCATATCTAATAACAAATTCTCGCTAATATATGTTGTCGAACTGCAATGTAAAGTGATAAAGAAAGAATAAGGGCAAAGAAAAAAAACACTTTGTTTTGATTAGGCGTGCTTCAGGAAATATACCTTATAACACTTAACCACATCATCAGTGCATGTTTAATCCTTGTAGGCTATCTCCTTAAAAAGGCCGTCCGTACCCTACTTTTTTATTTTATGTTTTTGTTCTTCTATACGTTTTTACATGTCATATCGGAAAATATGAGAAAAATCGTTTGTACAACTTTTCATATTTTACATTTTTCGCGCATGCTTCCCAATATAACATGTCTGAGAAGATGGGAAAAGACATCTTTGCACCACGACAATGCACGTCAATGGTTTTTGATTCGCTAAAATACCATGTGTTATTGTATATATAATCACTGTACATATATATAGACATTTTTAATAGGATCTTTGTTAAAAAAATTCAATAACGGTTGAACAATTGCGATTGTTCCTGTAACTCGTAAACGGATCAAAATGGCGCCATGCATGTGGGGGAAAAGGTTGACATATTGCACTTGTCATATCTTCGAAACGAGTTCGGTGACCCCAACTTTTTTCTGTTTTCACTATGGGCATATCATAAACTTCACCTCGGGGAAGTTTCAACAAACTCTCATTTCCAGAACAATAGACAATTCATTTCCTATGCATTATGGACTACTTTTTAAAACTATAGGCAAGGAGATGCAAATAAATCACACAGCTAGAAAGAGCATACTAAAATTACTAAAATTACAAAGTTTGGTTCCGAAATGTTGTAAAATGCGGAAAATATAGCCTTGCAAAATTTGCAAATTTTGTACATTTCGTATCTTTCGCCTTATTCCCACTTGTATTTATTTTACTGTGATATGAGCGGGAATAAGGCGAAAGATACGAGAACCTCTGGCAACCAGGGTATAGGAATTTCCGCACGCAATACAAATTTAAATATACAAAATTTGCAAACTTTGTAAGTCTATATTTTCCGCATTTCGCAACCAAACTTTGCAGTTTTACTCATTTTAGTATGCTCTTTCTAGCTGTGGTGATTTATTTGCATCTCCTTGACTAGTTTTTAAAATTAGTCTATTATAAATGGGAATTGTCTATTACTGATGAATCACCTTAAATGCATGCATGCTTCCCAACAAAACTAGTTTCATGGCTGACACTGCGCAGAGAACAGCAAAAGATCTGTTGTCTCAAGCGGGATTAAGCTACCAATCCTCGATAGCTCAATGATTGGAGCGGTAGTGTAGAAACCCAAATATGCGAGTTCGAATCCCGCTTGAGACAACACACTTTTCGTTGTTCTCGTAGCTTGCCAACAAATTCGGGACGATTTTTTGGTTCCCAAGTGTTATTTTTGTTGCAGAAATGATGTTTCCTGGTTTGCCCACTTTCGGAATTAAGCATGATTATAGAAAACAAAGTCTTCATCTTCGCGTATCTTTGTGCAACATGGGCATGCAGGAGTGTTTCCTGGTTTGCCCACCTTTCGAAAACATAGCTAGCAAAGAATGTTTTTGGTTTGCGTCACCTTTAGAAACATGTCTAGGAAACAATGTTTAGTTTGCAAAACATGTCTACATCAGGGTTCGTAGCGGTCTTTGAAATCCTTGAAAGTCTTTAAATTTGAATGCAGGTCTTTAAGGTCTTTGAAAAGTCTTTGAATTGTGTAAAAAAGCGAAGAATGTCTTTAAAAGTCTTTAAATTCTTCAGTGAGTATTTGATTAGACGATTTTCTAGCTAATAAAATAAATTGATTGAAGCAAGATTTTCGCAAATATCGACGAAAAGGCGCATTTTAGGATGTGATTTGACGGGACTAATTACCGGGTAAAAATGGTGCTCGCAATTTTTCGACAGCTAATTGCTCTCAAAGGTCTTTGTAAAGTCTTTGAAAATAGGCAGAAAAAATCTATGAAAGTCTTTGAATTTTTTTGGTCTTGGAGACTACGAACCCTGTACATGGGACACAATGTTTCCTGTTTCCGGCCAACTTTCTGTGATAAACATGGCTAAAAAACAATATTTTCTGTTTTGCCCAGCTTTTGGGAATGCATGTTTGGCTAGGGAAAAATAGTTTAAGCTCCTAGTTTTTCCTCGATATAATATGATTTACCATTTTACCTCGACAGCTAGTGCTGTTGTATACTGATTTCCAAACGCTCCAGTTGTTGTATTTTGCTTTGAGATCATGCTTTGAACAAGATTCCCTATGGCCCGATCCACTTTGCGTTGTAGGGATCTATTTGAGGTTGACACACAAGACAAAGCAGTCGAAATCAATGCGTCAATATCAACTGAATGATAGCTGACTTTTCTGTTTGCACCTTTAATCAATTCTTTGATGACAAAATCCGGTACCTTATTGCCTGCATCGCAGAGGGCAATTACAGCCAAACTATAGCCGAAATAATTGTTGAAACTTGCATACGTCTCGTATTTAGGAAAGCCGGCCAAAAGAGGTCTTATTAGGTTATATCCATGGAAGTCTTTAGGATCCTTACAAATTGATATCACTCCTTGAATAATTAGGCCCAGGTGAGGAGTAGGGATGCTTGATAGATCTTGCACGGAGTTAAGTTTGTTTTTTAGAGTTTCGTCGATGGAATTGCCCTGTCCGTCTTTGAAGTCGGTCAGCAGTGTGCTAGGATAGTGGCCAGCAATTCTGAGAGGCGCAAACATCGAGGCAGCCCGGTACGGCCGTAGTTTTGTACTGTTGTCCTTGTAGAATTGCTTCATCCAGTCAGAGGAACGGACAACTGCCCGGGTTAGGTCGGCATGTAGACCTTCGGTTGACGTTTCTGAAAATAATCCAATATAAACTATATTGTCCACTTTATATCATGCAGTTTTTATATCATTCCTCGTATATGTAAATGTCGCAACGGATGGTCCCTCAGGACTAACTATATCTGTATTTAACGGATTTTCTACTAAAAAAATGATGTATACCATAACATATATACATGAATGGCAGTGCCCTAGTATGTATACATGAACTTGCGGTTAGAGCTCGACAGCTGGCCTCTGTAGCTCAGTTTATAGTTCGAGCGCTGTACCGGTGTCCCAGGATTTTCGCCCCCCCCCTACATTTTCGCCCCCGGGGGGCGAAATTCCTAGGAATATCGCCCCCCCCCCAGGGGGGCGAAAATCCTAGGAATTTTGCCCCCCTTTAGGAAATTCGCCCCCCTTTAGAAACTTCACCTTTTCTTTAAGATTTTCGTCCTCCGTTCAAAGTTTCGCCCTTCCTAACAGTTGCATGGGATAACTATTACATGGCTTTAATCATTTGAAATCAGTATCAATTCAAAATTGTTAAGACAAGGCTTGAAATAACAACCGATCAATGATTGGCAATTAAGGCATTGCTTATGATCGGCGGAAAAGCAGGGTTTCGGTTTCCAACCTGAAAAAAGAACTTGCCAATAGGCAATACTCCAATAATATACGTTTCAAAAAAAGACAAAAAAGCTTTTAGTTTTCCAGAGTTACATTCTCAAATGTTTATAACGCACTAATAACATCAAAGTATCATGAAATTATTTGAATAAATCACACCACATATATAAAGGCAATTTTCTTTGGGGAAGTCAAGAATCAAGATTACATCACTAACACTGACATGGAAAGTTGATAATTCAACAGACAATAGTCAATACGCTTTCCAACACATTCCATAGATTTTTTATTAATCCTATACAGTATAGTTTATTGTTAGCAAGTGATTACTGTGGCGGCTATTATTAACACTGGTATTGATAAAATTTGCAAGCGGAATTAAAAAATTCAGAAATTCAAAATTTATATGGGGGGGAAATTCCTAAAGGGGGGCGATATTCCTAGGAGATTTGCCCCCCTGGGGGGCGATATTCCTAGGAGATTCGCCCCGGGGGGGCGAATATCCTAGGAATATCGCCCCCTTTTGAGAGGGGGGGGCGAATCTCCTGGGGGGGCGAATCTCCTGTG